CTATAACATGAATACTAGACAAAAATATAACTTCACCTACCCTCATCAACTTTATCAGTATATCAAAAAGGAGTCTACTTTACTGGCATAAAAGTGTTCAACAATCTGCCACAAAGTATTAAAAACTTGGGCAATGATACTAAAAAGTTTAAATCAGAGTTAAAGAATTATCTACATGCTCATTCCTTCTACTCTTTAGATGAATACTTCAATGTAAATAGAGAATGATGTAAAATTAAGTTATATTAATTTTTAAGCTAAAATTGCCTGTACTTATGTATGTAACCTTTTGACTTGTTCTGTATCCAAAGGTACTAACCTACTTAGGATTTATAGAATGTAAATAAATTCAATTCAATTCAATATTTTTTATCCAGTAAGAAGGGCAAGTGCCAACAAAATGAATAAGAGGGCCGCACGTGGCCCGCGGGTTGAACAAGACTGCTTTAGGGAATCATTAGCGATCATTAGGATCATGAGAGAAATTCAATTTCCTCATATTTTGAGTAATCCTGATATTATCCTGATAATATTCCACTATTGCAAGTTCTAGTTGGGATTCTGCTAAACTTCGCAGTGCCCATCCTGAGGGTGATGTTTCTAGTATAGAATGCACATTTTTACTGTTTTATGCCCTTTCTCGCCTTCGAGAGCTGATGGTCGATTGTGAACTGGTTGAAGTTGCAGGGCATACAAATGCATTTTGCGGCTATGCGATATAAATTTTTGTAGTATGATTGCTGTTTCTAGGACGTAGTTCCGTTCAGTATGGTAGGCTTTTACCGACGTTTTGGAAGCAAGAGGTCCACTCTGAGTGGGTGAACTATCTGCCTTCAAAACTAAGCAAAAATCTGTTAAGACTACACAACTTGTAATAATGCACTAAGGTTCAAAATCTCTGCCGGCCTATGCTGTGAGAACAAAGAAATCCAGGTCACTCTATAACTTCTATATCACTATAGTTGTATCACTGTAGTTGTATGTATGTGCAACTTCTATATCGCAAGGGTTTTTGTAAATCAATTCATTTGCTACCCACAAAAGCATCATGTGTGATAAAATAAAGTTTCACGTTTATGAAAGATTCTGCATTCTCTTGCAGCAGGAATGCTGAGAATTCTGCTACAGAGAGCTGAAGAAACATTTCCTGCTGAGACAGAAAGGATGGTGAGTGTTTTGTGCTTGTGTGCACAGACAAGAATTTTATTGTCATGAGTCAATTCTCATATCTTAAGAAACTAAACTATTTATGCTAAGCTTTTGTTAGTTTTCATAATCCATCTGGGGAGTTTACTAGGTACTTCACATTATAACAGTTTGGTATATTATGTAGGAGAGGGATTAATTCCAAGAGAGTGATATGGGTAGGTCAAGTACCACACATGTGAGAATGAGAAATGCTTACAAATATTTTGACTAAAGACCTGAAAGAATGAGACAATTGTGAAGATGGATTTTAAAGGTAAAATTATGGGGTCTTGGACTGGGTTTGTGTCAGGATGCAAAGTTATGATGGGCATGTGTGAACACAATAATGAGTGCTTAGGTTCCATAAAGAGCAGATACGTATTGTCTGTACTTCCACAGGGACCATAGGTTTCTCAGGAAGGTCTCTGCATTATGAACTTAACACATCCTAAGATTATGGGTCTGTAGAGAAGAAATCTGTACAGAGCAGCTGTTATGGGTTACATGTAATGAGAAACAGCTACAGCAAGGAGAGCATATATTGTTTCATGTATGGTGTTGTACAGCCATGACTGATAGAAGATGTGATGCCTTTACAGAACTGTACAAATTCAGAGAAGGTTTTAGTGGGTCCACATGGTGAGACGTACCCAGCAAGTCATGATGCAAAACAGGCCATGAATATAAAAGCTGAGGAAGTTTCAGATGCAGAAGAGGAAGCAGATCCTCTGCAAATAACAGTTCAGGAGATAAAGGCTGAATGTGAGGTGAGCTGTATGCTTCTGTATGTCCACTGTTAGGCAGATATCACAGATAGGCAGGAATTGCAGTTGTCTCTCTCATCTCTATCTGTCTTTGCACATAAAACAACTCCACTGCACTGCTGACTTGCCTTTGAAGGCCTTTTTCTGAAGTGTCTCTACACAGTTATAGTTTGTTAAATGTATGCTGCTTGTGATGTACCACTTCCATTTCCTTTTAAGCATTTCCAATGCAGATAAAATTAAATTTTACATAAACAGAACAGAGTTTGAGAGAAATTCTCTAGCAGCAAAAATTCACAGGGAGTCACAGACCCGTTCGCAGTTATTTACTGGTACACTTGAGGCCGCGCCATAGCTCAAGCAGTTAGTCGCTGGCTTCCCACTGCAGTGGCTAGGGTTTGATCTCGCATCTGGTCAAGTGGGATTTGTGGTGGACAAAGTGGCGCTGGGGCAGGTTTCCTCCGAGTACTTTGGTTTCCCCTGCCAATCTTTCTTCCACAAATTGCTCCACAATCACCCTCACCTATCATCTTTGGCTGCTACAATAGGCCAGAAGTGGCCGCAGTACAAGGGACTTAGTCCCATCCCAGTAGGAATAAAAAAATACTGGTACACTTGTTAGAACCAAGAATTAAATTACTAGAACTCTTGTAAGCAAATTCCAGTGAACCCCACATGATATTTATCATGTGATGAAAAGGTTTCAAGGTTACAAAAGATTCTGCATTCTCTCGCAACAATGGTGGCAAGAATTGTACTGCAGAGAGCTGAAGAAAAGTTTCCTGCTGTAAGTGAAAGGATTCTGAGTGTTTCATGCTTGTGGGTACGGACATGAATTTTATTGTATGTCAGTTGTCTTGGCCAAAGAAACTAAATATTTTGTGACCCACTTCTGTTTGTTTGCATAATCCATGTGGGGCGTTCCTTACACCTGGGTGATAACGGTTGGGTTATTATGTAGGAGAGCAATGAGTTCAAGGACAGTGATGTGTGTAAGTCATGTAGTGCACATGCAAGCGTGAGAAATGCATACAGAGAAGCAGACCACTTGGGAGACCTGAGTGTGAATGGAAAGTTGCTATTAAGATAGATTTTAAAGAAATAATTTGGGTTTGTACTGAGTTTGTTTGCCACAGAATATGGAGCCACGTTGAGCACAGTGATGAGCCCTTTCTGGCTTTCTCAACAAATCGCATATGCATTCCTCTTCTCCCCTTTTTCTGATACATGAGCTGCCCATCTCATCTTCCTTGACTTGATCATATAATTATGCTTGTTGAATGAAAGTTACAAGTTGTGGAGCTCTTCATTATGATGTTTTTAAGAACCAAAAACTTGATATTTTCTGTACTGCTGCAGTGACTGCTAGTTCTGAGGGAGGTCACTGAGCTAAAAACCGAGTACTTTCTAGCGATCGTGATAGCTGTAGAGAAGAGCATCCATACAAAACAGCTCTTATGAGTTAAATGTGACGAGAAACGACATCCATAGCAAGAAGAGCATAAGCTGTTTAAACAGTGGTGTTGTGCATTCATTTCTGAGAGGGATGTGATGGATTTTACAGAACTGTACAAATTCGGAGAACACTTTAGTGGGTCCATATGGTGAGACATGGCCAGCACCTCATGATGCAAATCAGACCATGAATGTAAAATCTGAGGCAGTCTCAGATGCAGAAGAGGAAGAGGATCCTGTCCCAATAACATTTCCAGAAATAAAGGCTGAACCTGAGGTGAGCTGTATGTGCACTGTTAGGCAGATGACACAAATGTGCACAAACGCCGCTTGTCTTTGTGATATCCATCTCTGAAACATGAAACAACTCCACTGTGCTGTTGACTAGATTTTGAAGGGTTTTTTTTCTGAACTGTTTCTAGACCACTGCAGTACATTGAATGTTGCGTGTGATGTACCACTCCACTAAGCAGTGCTTTGTTAATTCATCATAGAGTTCCCAGGATCTATAAATGCTGAAGTTTATCCTTTATTTCTTTTCTGTCTTCGATGCAGTCTGTATCCATGTAATAACACAGAGCCATCATTATGTTGGGGATTTGTTATAGGATAACTAATGATTTTCTATAGCTTTGTGATAATGTTTGACATGTTATAGACACATGTTGCCTTTTGCCCTTTGTTTGAAGTAAATTTAATATACCAGACACTGTTGGAGTTGCCTCTGTACTTGCTGTCAGGTGATTGGTTGTCATGACAGATTTTTTAGTTATTTTTGGTTGGACAGGAAGGTGACTAAATGTTAGATACAGAGAATGTGTAAGGGGTGTAGAAACCAATAGTGAAGAACTGGCATTGGCAACACATCGTAAAATATAGACACAATTGTGGTTAAGTGGAATCTACAATGGATGTAATTAAACACACAAAGAAAACTAGTAATGAACGTGAAAGAAAATTTCTACATCTACATATAGACGGAGGTTCTTACTATTCTGGGCCGGTTCACAGCAACTGATCCACCACAGGCTGCAAGGTGCATACAGATTTTGCCAATGAATCAGTATGCCTGTTGCCAGTAACATATGCAATGAAGTATACAAGTCACATGTCACAGAAGTTGTTGAAAATACTGTCCCCCTACACGTAGACATTCCTTGCAGCAGCAGAAGGGGTTCTGATTAACCCTTAAAGCTGTCGTGTCAGAATTGTTGCAATTTCCCTATGAATATTCTTTTTAGTTCTTCCAGGTGGTGTTTACTGTTTTATACTTTGGCCTGCAAAGAACCACAGAAGAAAATATCTAATAATTAAGGTTCGGTGAATGTTCCTGCCAAATACCAGTGCTGATATTTCTCTCCCCGAAAGTACTAGGCAAAGCTTGCATAGACGTGCGTGAAATGTGGGCAGTAGCTTAGTCTTGCTGAATCCAACCATAGAGTCTTTTTTTCTTTTGTAATTCTCGAATGAATTGTCTGTACATATTTTGTTTTTATTTGGTGGGGGTGGAACTGAGTCCACTTGGTTCAGTGGCCACTTCTGGCCTATTCTACCAGCCCCAGATGATAGGTGAGGGTGATTATGAAGCAATTGGTGGAATGAAGATTGGCAGGATAAACTGAAATACTCGGAGAAAACCCCGCCCCAGCGCCACTTTTTCCACCACAAATCTCACTTGACCAGACCCGGGATCGAAACCAGGCCGCCGCAGTGAGAAGCCAGCGTCTTACCTCTTGGGCTATGGCGAGGCCTTTGAACTATACATATCTTTCACAAATAATTGTTTATTTAAAAAATGCAGGTAGAACAATCCTTATTCCCCTTACAACATGCCAGACTCCAACTTTCACTGGATGGAGCCATACTTCATGGGTTAGATGAGGATTTAGTGAAATCCAGTAGCAATTATTTTTTGTATTTATGTATCCCTGCAAGTGAACCCATGCCTCATCAGAAAAGAATGTCAGTTCGAGATGAATCTCATCTTCAATGATCCACTGTAGAAACCAACTGCAAAAAGGAACCCAGCTAGCTGGATTGCACAGTTGCAAGGCATGCATTATTACTAGGGCCCGGATTTTTATGACCTGAAAACCGTAAATATATGCGTGCACTTATGACCCAAAATTACATCAAGTATGACATAAAAAGTGTAAAAATGACCTTAAATATTAAATGGGACATATAATTTCACAATTTTAATTATGATTTGAATTGTTTCATATTTGGTCCGTTACACTATCAATCACAAATTGTCAATGAATAATCTGTCGAGTGTAACAACGTTCTTAGGTCACTTATTTATTTCACTCGCCTTACATGTTTCGGTTCAAAAGAACCATCATCAGAGGCACGTTACAAACACATGGAACCACTGGCGTTGTATTGTACACGGTATGTAAGCTGCGTGATCTGCTACAGATGTCGGAGTGTAAAAGCACAACACTTTCTAGTAACGTTGAATGCATGTACACCTCTTGCATTCCATCCAAAGAATGCTCTCAAATTGAGCCGTCAATGTTAAAATATTTAAAAGCTTAAAACATTTGAAATAAAATTTGGCTCCTTCTTGTTGATTCGTCCTGGTGATGGGAATCGTCAACTTGAGGTTGTGTATGCTGCAAAGATATTGTATTATATTAGGTTTTATATATTATTATAT